AAATTTTGCGAATATGCTCTCTATAATTTTCTCCGATTTCTCCGAAATTTCAGCTAGATTGGATCATCCTCCGCGGTTTCGCGGAATTTTCTCCATTTCTCCGAATTTTTCTACATGTTGGTGAATAACCCCATAAAAGAAAAAAAACTCACTCTTTGGTTGGGCGGTCGTCGAATTCGTCAGAGGACGAGAATGAGCTGCTTGTTGGACTGCTGCTACTTCCGCCCAGGGAGTGCGATCGCTGAAAAGAGGCAACTAATCAGTACAAGAAGAATATCAAAAGATGAAAACGAAAACCCTGTCAATTGATGTTTTCAGAAGTTGAGGAGTATTTCGAAAGAAGTTTCGATGATGAGAACGGCTTCGATGATTATGGAATGAATAAGGGAGCATTATAGTAATGGGGAATTCCTCAGAAAGAAGTAACTAATAATATTTTTGTTTCGAAGGAAAGGTAAGTGGCAGTTTAAGTCGGGAAGAGACAGGTAATTCGAGATATATGAGTGGTCAGCCAGCAGAGTAAAGCGGATCGGAAGTGTCGAGTTACACGGTCAACTATTTATGTCTTTTACTATTTAAAAAATATGTTTGTTTCTGAAATCATATTCAATTTCTCTCTATCAGTTGTAGTAATTGAAAACGATAGGCTTATTATCAAAACTGATTTCGCAAACAGGACAATGATTCATTAAATGTTTGAAACGACAGTAGCAGTTTCATCTGATTCGTGTAAATCAGAAATCAATAAACTCAAGTGTAATTATCGATAATTAGAGAGGAGGCAACACACAGATCATAAAAACCCAATAAAATGGCACCATGAAAATAATGAGAGAAGCCCCGCCGATGTCGGTCCTTTGGAAAAGTCACTGACGTTTCGATAAAAAGAACAAGTCGGAAGAACAAGGTGATCTGGGAGACCTCCGAGAGGCATTCGGAGTCTGTTGGTAAGTGGCAGAAGCGAGAAAGTACGAGAGGCCATGAGAGACGCAGACTGGAAGACAGAAGCGTTGCACAAAGAGACAGCGTGTAGATTGGAGAGAATGTGTGTCAGATTACGAGGGGAAGAGGTAATGAGAGGGTTGGAGACGGAGATAGTGTTGGAACGAAACGAAAATGCGAACAAATATAAGAAAATCTTTCGGAAGGAAGGAGAGACAGGCGATGGTATTATGCGCATGCGCAGCACGGAGACATTCTACGCATGATCCCTCTTTTGTACATTTGGAAATCTGAGAGCTTCAATTTTATTGAAATTTAATTTCTGAAAAGTTCGCAAAACCTGGTTTCACTTGTTTCGCAATGAAGTCTGTAAATAGACTTAAAATGCAGAGCAATTACATGTTGTTTGTTCAGTAATATGTAATAAAAATATTTGTAAATTTGGAAAGTTAAATAGAGAATTTCAATGCTGCAGAAAAGAACGAAAAAAACTAAAACTGCGATCTCTCAGATCGTTCTTCTCGAAACCCAGCAAATTAATCAAGAATGCGCCTTTGATGATACGGTAGATTTCTCATTCTACCATTTTCGGCTCAAAAATCAAAAAAGTTTGAAAGAGAACAAAGATTTGGAGATCCATTCTCTCTCTGCTGCTGCTGTGAACCTCCGAGAGGTGCTCGGATTTGTTTGAACATTGTTGTGTTTATCGATTTCGCCAAAACGGATGGATCCGAGTCTCTTTTTTCACCATTCTCTGTTATTTTTCTCTCACAAGGTGCTATATACGACAAAGATGGAAAAGAGGGCAAATGAGAAGCGTTGTGGAAAGGAGGTTAAGGAGGGATTAAGAAGAAACGATTTAACAAGCAGAAAATAAATTGTGAGGATTATGATTGTGTGGTTCCAAAACCGGGGGAAGTTTTTAAGTTTTTAAAAAATATTTTATTAGCAATGAAAAACCCTATTTAGCTAACATAATACAAGAGCTAGTCTACAAAAAACTTCTAACAAGTCTTGAAATAACACGAATTATTGGTGGTATATGATGTTCTGGTTGTTGAAGAGCAACCATGTCCAAATGTGTTGAGAATTTGAATAACCGATCTTTCTCTTCTCGTAACCGACTCATCAAATTCGGATCAGTTGTGACAATCATGACTTGAGCCTCCAAATCACGATGAACGGATCGGTATCCTGAAAATATTTCAAATCAAATGAGATCATTCTGTTTGGAACTTGCCATAATTCGATGATCCCACTAACGTCATGATTTTGTTATCATGCTCTCTCCATAACCCTTTCGCATGAAAAGTCCATCCTTCTTTGAAATACTGATGCATTTGAACATTCATCCGGTTACTTCTCTGCATTTTCAACAGAAATTGCTCAGATATCTTAGAATATAATGGTGGAATGTATTTCGAGAAACCTTTTGATTCAAAGAAACCATTTGCCTAAAAAAATCATTAATTACAGTATAGTTCAATAAAGTGAAAATATTACGAAAGGAGATGCAGTGAGAATATCCAGTTGATAAGTTCCTTCATTCAGAATCAAATCTTCATAGTCTCGAATGAAGTTGAAGTAGCCAGAAGCCATTGTCATTTTTATTTGAGCATCTTTCATTGCAAACACTTTATTCAGAAGATTATATTCTTGATGGATTCCAAGAAGACCCATTTGTAAAATTGGATAAATCCATGTTTCAGAAACTGTTTTGTCGCTTTTCCGAGCTTCTCGATACTTTTCAATAACACTTTCGACTCGTAGTTTTAGTAAATCTCTATATGACTGGGATCCTCCAAGATACGGATGAACATCACATTTCGAGCTGGGAACTACTTCATCGTTTTGTACTATGAAACTGGATTCACCTTAAAAATTGGGAAAGCTCAAAGTTTAATGACAAACTGGCTTACCAACAGTAGTGATGATTTCATAGAAAAAATCTGCTAACGTTTTACAGTTTCTGAAAAGAAACCATCGATCGGTTCGGTCTGTGAAATAAGAGTAGGAGAGATTCGCTCTGTAAGTATAGGCAGGATTGTATGGAAAGATGATTTTTCGCCAGGGATGCTCGTAATGACCTTTTCGGAATTATACAAAATTCAATTCATCACAAAATCCTAAAAAAAAATGGTGGAAAATTGACAAACAGACAATTCTGCTTGAGACCCGCAAACAAAGTTCTCGCTTGCGACTTTGACATACGGTAGTCCAAAAATTTCAATTTTAAAAATTCCCTTATTGTCTATTCAAAATAATCGTTTTTACTCGTTGACCGGCGCGATTATTTTGAATAGACAATACAAACATCCTTGATTTTTCACTAACCCACTGATGAGAACATTATCATCAAAAATATACAGTTTCATGTGCTGTAATCCGATGATTTCGTCAGCTCGTTGAGGTAGAACTCGTTTTACAAGACCGTTTAATTCGGGTGTATGATAGAGGAATATCTTAAGAACTTTTTTATTATTGAAAAACTGATTTTTAAAAACCTTGGCTCGATCGGAAATCGGTTTCATCACCGTCACACTACTTTCCCCATCTGAACTTCTTCTTGTTCCTCTCAATAAATCGAGCAGAATCGTCACATCGATATCTTCCACCTGATCCATTCTTTCTCGAATCGTGGAAACTAATTGTTTTTCTAAAAGCCCTTCTCCCAAGTATAAACTGCTCAACGCTATTCTTCTTTCAGATTTTGTTGTGAGTTCCTGACAAGGAGAAATTCTTTTTTTATATGTTTCAAGCTATCACTCACAAGAAGCTTCTCATAAAACTGCGTCGGTGTTTCTAAAATTTCTAGATTCGAGGACTCAATGGGAATCCCTGGCATTTCACATTCAAGAACTTCCATCTAAAAATGTTATGTTTTAAAAAGCATTTTCTTGCGGAACGAGATATTTGAATCATGAAACAAAATGTATAGTTTTTTGGGCTTTTTAACAATCAGATCATCATTTATAAACCTGTGTGTTGTAAGGAGCATATACAGAAATAAAAAAGGTGAAGCAGAATTTGACATGAATTGATTATTGTGTTAGAATGATTATCGTAAAGACAAGTGAACGAGTGATCTATCTACGAAAGCAGCAAACTCTTCTTCGTCGTCAACGAGATTGTGCTCGGGGAATGGACCATGTGGCTCGCCGGTGAATATTCGGTTTGTTGGTGAGACACGCGATCTCTTTGGACCTAAGACACGAACATGTCTGAAATAGTCAGCGGATAATTAGAAAATTGAATTGAAACCTAACCTAATATGAGTGTCTCTTCCATTCTGATGGTTCTGAATAACCTGAATTTGAATCCAGAAAACCCGTTGCGGTCGTTCCATTTTGTCACGAATATCGATGGCGCACCAACCTTGTGGTTCGTTGAACGATTGAGCATTGCGGAAGAAGATGTCCTGGTGCGATGATCCCAGTTTTATTTGAATTCTGAAATCAAATAACTTGTTGGAACGATTTTTGCGAGTATTTTTTACTTGGAGGGGGTGTAAGATTCGTCATTTTTGTAGTCGAGATAAAACATCATAAAGGCAACATCCGTTTTCTTTTGAAATTCCAAATGAATTGTGTGTGGTTGTGGTCCGTCACTTTGCCAGTACTTTTCTACGTTGTCAGACATGAGCTCATCGATTCCATAACCTTAAAAATATATATGAAGATTTTTTCAGTGTAATTGATGGTTTTCACCGTTTTTACAACTGGAAACTGTCCAAATAGCTTGATTGGAAATGTCGAGAAGTGGGCTGTCTCTTGGCTCGACATTTTTCGGAATATATGGAATCCATCCAATCGATCCGTCTGTCTTTTTTGATTCGTCCACTTCCATAAAGCTGGAATTCATTCGAAAATCAAGCGGTGAGAAGCTATTCGAAAATTATTTCATTAAAGTTACAAGAGATAAGGTTTAGGCTATGAAAAAGATTTTTACTTGCAAAAAAGTGTTATTTTTCTGAAAATTGCATAATGGGGTTAATCATGATTTGTTTTTTAAATACAAAAAATACGAAAAAATACATGAAATACATTTTTTCGCATGCATGCATTAATTTTTTGTGTTTAAAAAATACAAGAAAATACATTTTTTGTCATTAATAACCCCATAAAATGAAAAAAAATAGCGGAGCATCGTAGTGCGCCTTGTTTAGCAGGTCGAAGTCAGATCAGATTTTCAGATAAAAATTACCATTCAAACGGTGAAAGTAACAAGATAAATTGCTAAAAAACGACATATTGGCTGGAAAAGCTTCACAAGAGAAAAAAACAACTTAAATTTGGGTAAAATGAAAAAGATAACCTAGAACACAGCAGACTGTCCAGGAGAAAAAACACCAACATCTAAATTTCATAAATATATTGTGACTGTATTAAAAAAATGCAGTCCTCTAAACAGAAAATAATTGTGCGGCCGAAAATTCCGAGCGCACCCTCTCTTCCATTTTTCTCTGGCTTCTCCTTCGGCCACCACTCTCTTCCCCTTCTCCGTATTCGACCCCATTTTCCCACCATTAATTATATTTTTTCAATGAGTTTCCCAATTCATTCTGCAAATATTTTGAAACATGGGTCTTTAAAAAGAATCTTTTTAAGTTTTCCCGGGATTGACCTTTCTGTTTTTGGAGGTTTTGAATAGGAATGATCTCTGAATAGGCCAATTAAGGAGACGAAGTCTATTAGAACCAAAAATTTCACTAGTTGTCTTAAGAATAACAGAAACTGTCTAGAGGTATGGCCAGTTAACTTTCGCTCTTCTAATTCGATGAGAAGCGGAAGTAGTTAATTTTTCTTTTCTTTTTTCATTATACCTTGATTTCTTTTTTGGAATTATCTAAAATGTATGAGAACAGGTTCGGAATCAAGAAATCTATCAATTTATGAAACCTCAGAAATTATCTTTTGTTCATTACTAGACTTTACTTCTTCTTTCTGAATTTTGTGGAGTCAGAAAGTCTATCATTTTGTTTATGCTCATAAAACTATTGCACGATAATATCAACAAGACGATAATCACTGATTTTGTAGTTCTTCTGCACGAATTGTGTTATACGTGGAAATAGATGACTCTTATCTGTGCAGTATCAAGAAACTCTGTTAAACTTTTGAACATTGACGGCTGGCTTCAAAACACAATGTTTTTTGGGCAAACATTTTCAATTATGAGAAAAATCAGATTTCCGTTGCATTGGAAAATCTGGGAGGCGTTTCCCAGAAGATTTCAATTAGGATTCCCAACGCGAAAATTTGATTTTGTTTCATGTTTCTCAACAAAAGTGCATCCTCCCACAGAACTAAATTGTGTGATTCGTTAGTTTCAAAAAGAATACTGTACTTTTCAGCTTTTTAATGGTCAAATGTTAAAAATTTTCGAAGAATTGTAACAATATTTGAGAGGAAAATTAGTAGAAAATACTTTTGGATCCCAAAAACAAAATCTGAACTATCAGAATACTCCCCAATTAAAATTGATGATTTCATTTCCAGCCCATTTTTCGACTCCTTCTGCTCAATTTCCATCCCCTTTTCTCTATAATTCTGACCACCAGTTTGCATTCCTCAATTATTCCAAAAACCCGATTCATCTGTTTCTCTTTTTCCCCTCAAGTCATCAGTTGACCATTCAATTCTGTTCATTCTTTCACCCATAAACTGTAGAACATTTTTCGTTCGAATTGTGTTTATTATTGTTGTTCTCAGCCCTGAACCCAATGGAAAACAAGAATTCCGTGATAAAAATCCTGATGAAAATGATGATGATGAGGCAATGGGGGAATAAATGGGGGTTTTCTAGTGGATGGAAAAACGAATTAATCGACCTTGAAGTGTCGGGTTTTGGTGGTGGTGGCAAACCGAAAAGACTCACCTCAACGGGCGGTCTCTATTCAATCTCAGAGAGAGGGTTTTTACGTGCTTTTATGAATTCTCTTCTCCTTTTTTTTCGAAAGATGTGAGAGGATGAAAGACTACTGTAGTGTGACACAATTAGTAGTTCTTTTGATCTTTCGAAGTATTGGAACTTTATTCAAGAAATAGCCTCTCTCTCTCCAAAAAAAGTTGTAAGATCAGAAGCAATTCTATTTTCGCCCATAATATATGATTAAGAAGTCATTGAATTTCTGGCTAAGCTTCGCTCTCTACACTTGCATCTGCAAAAAGAGCCAATTATAGATTATAGCTCATTTTCCAAGAAATCAACATTTTTCATAATACTAAAGAGAGCCAATGAGTCATGTATTTTCCTAGAAAAAGAATGGAGGTAATTTGAAAAAAAATAACAGGAAAAAAAAAGAGGAGAAGAAAATAATTGCATTGGATTATCAGGATGAGGTCTCTAAAAATAGAAATGTGGAAGAACAGAAATTTTAAATTTTTTAGAGAAGAGTGTTTTAAATTCAGAACTATTCATAGAAATTTATTCTGATTGTAAGACAATGATATTGAACGCATTCTTTCAATTGCATTTCTAACTACAGTAACCCTTCTTTCGAAAAACTCTCTCCCCTCCAGGGTGTGAACTTTCCATTTGTTACATCCATTTCGGACAAAGTAGTCTTTAGGGAATCCTGTCAACAACTCCTTCTTTCTCTCCTCTTTCTTCCCTTTTTGCGTGCTTTCCATTCATTATTCATACCCTTTCCTTCCATGTGTTGCAAAACCCTCAACTTTCTATTTCTCCGCCCTTTCTCCTTCTTATTTTTCCTCCTCTTTCGTCTTCGGGCTCATTTTAGACCGAAACGCTTCTTTTCCCTGGGTTTAGGTGACCAATGATCAGTCCTCTTTTCATTTTTCTTTAGGCCGTTGAAAAGCACAACACCGACCCGATACGATTCATTGAAGATGAATTCCGAAATGAATACCACTGGCGGTGGTACTGTAAAATATGCAAACGAAGAGAGAGAGAGAGAAAGAGAGATGGGGGAAAGTGAGAGAAGAGGTTTCTTTATGACCACTTGTATTCAACTTTTTTTTTGAATCGGAAGTTTTTACTGGTTTTTTTAGTCTGTTAGAAAAAGATACGGAAAGAGAATATAGTCTAGGAAATGCTGAACTTGAGAAAATATGTGCATTTGGGGTAAGAAGAGATCTACTACAAAACCAGTGAATTCATTGAAACAATAATATAATTTGGGTTTCCAGAAAGTTTTTCAAATCATAGTGAAGATATTTAAGCAAAATTTTACAATGAACAATTTCTTTTCTGTCAGACTTAACTTTTAAAATTAACTCTTTCAGTTGAAATTTTCTTGAACCCTCAACTCTTGGGATTTTTGATTGTAAGTCATGCGCATGATAATCATAAAGATCCTTGAAAGATTAGTTCAAAATTATTGAATCCACCCATCCAAAAACTTCCAAAAAGGGTTATCCACTTTTCCGAATTAAACAAATTTAGTTTAATTTAGTTTAACGAAAATTATACATTGAACTCAAATAGGGCTAGAGTTACAGTATTAGGTTAATACCAGCAAGCTGGTGCGCCTTCGGCGCGATTCAATCCAGTTCTTTTTCTGGTTCGTGGCTCCGCTCCTAAATTATTCTTAAAGGGTCACGGAAACCTATATTTATTTTTCAACCTTTTCAAAAGTCGACAGAGTGACACCGGGACCAACAGACGCGTGTAGCGTTTTATATATAAGGAAGATGTAAAAATCGGAGCTGTGGTGGAGAAAATCTGGTGGCAGTGGCCGTGGGTCCACAACGATATCAACCGTAACCTAAAAATTATTGTTTTTTTCTTTACGGGGACCATTGGCCACGCCCACAAGCTTTTCTCTTCCATAGATCCAATTTTTTATACAAGCATATAAATCTCATCACCGATCGATCATTGGAAAAGTCGATAAGTCTAGTTTTTGTAGACAGGTTGGTTTATGGTTGGTAATAAAAACTGAAAGAGAGTGGTGTTTTGACCGTTGTCTTTCCAGTTTCGAAATCTTTGCAACTACAATAACCCTTTCGATAGAAACTTTTCTTGATGTACTCAGATGACTTGTGATGCTTCGCATCTAAAATTAAATGCACCCGACGACGATGACTGCGGAAAGTGTCAATTCTAACACCAAACCGCATCAATCAAACGGGGCGACAAAAAACGAGAGAGAGAGAGAGAGAGAGAGAGAGAGAGAGAGAGAGAGAGAGAGAGAGAGAGAGAGAGAGAGAGAGAGAGAGAGAGAGAGAGAGAACTGGGGGAAAATTGAATTTGAACTGGGGGAAAATTGAAATTCCAAGAGCTGTTCAAAACCCAACTTGTCGAGGTTCTAATGAATGGGAATTTTCGTAAAGCTTCTGAAACTTGAATGAACCTGAATTTTTGAATTTAAGGAGTTTTCATTTTTAGTTTTTTTTTTTTTAGTTTTCAATTTAAGGAGTTTTCATTTTTGCTATTATAATCTCATTGGAATCTCTGTAGAACCAGATTTCTGCTGCAGAAACATTGAACAAGTGGTTGGGTGTACGTGTTCTTTTCAAAACTATCTCTTTTCCAAAAATACGATATTTGCAAAATACTCGAACACAGATAGACCCACTTCACAGAACTCCAATATAGTTCCTCCTTTCGAAATCTATAATACAAGTGTCTCAAATGAATAATGAATCTGCACTCCGATTTCTTCTCATTTTCCTCCTCTTTCTCCTCCTCTACTTTCCCATCGTTTATCGCTTTCCCATCGGGTCTCTTTCTTCTTTTTTAATTCATCTTTTTCTTCTTTCTTCCCCTTCCGCTCCTTCTCTGTATTTTCTCTTCGTCTCTTCGTCTCATACACTATTTCAATCCGTCGTTCTTGTATGAAAGCGGTCTGACACCCATTTGTTAGTATTAAAACACCTTCT